TTTTCTTGCCCTTATTTTTCTCTAAACACGTGTGATTGCTCCCTTTTTTTCTTGAGAGATAAACTTTATTGTTTTAATATTCTTCTTTTATCTCTCCTTTTTGTTTGTCAATCATTTTATAATAGACTTCTTTTCTTTTTTGTCTTCTTTATTTTCTTGAATTCTTTTTATACGTATATTTGTTTTTCTCCCAAATTTTTAATTCTTCTTTTTAAGTAACTTTGTTTATGAAAATCAAATATAACAATACGTCTATTAATGGATACTTCTAATAATAATCTTTTATATATAATTTTGTTCTTGTCTATTAATTATTGAATTTCATGATTAGTGGAATTGAAGTTTTTTCAATTTTGTTTTTGCGAAAATTTATGTTATTAATCCTTTTTTTTTCATTCTAAAATCTTTTTCATATGTATATTTGTTGCTTTTCTATTTTTCTTGTTCTCCTTAATTTACTTTGTTAATGCAAATCACATGTATGCTTATCCATCAATCCTCCCAAAATCTTCTTTTAATATATTATTATGTAGTGTTTTTTTTCCACTTAATTTTGAAAATTCGTGATTTGTGAAATTAGAAAAATTTAAACTTTTTTGGGCAAAAATTTAGGATATAGTATTTGGCATTTTTGTTTTCAATTTCATAGGTAATAAATGTTCTCATAAGATCCTCGTAAAAAAAAGAATGTTGATTTTGTTGAATACAAACCAATATATACCAATAAATGTCAATCTCAATTTGAATAAATGTACGTGAATATATAGATAAAAACGAACCAATGTATACATAGTATAGTTACCATATACGTAACAAGAATCACATGTACAATTTATGAATAAAAATTAATTTTCATAGTTATCATATTAACTTCATTCTTGTATTCATTATAGTTATAACCTATAATTGTTGCGAACATTCTTACGTATACATTACAAGTTTATGTATACATGGTACAATTATCGTATACATCAAAAAAATTTACACGCCTATTTTTATGAATTATTTTTTGTGTATACATATATATTTTTTTATGTATATATTATGTAATTGCAACTTCAATTATTCTATAACTTTTGCATACGTGTTATTACATTTTCTAATAAAAAACATTGCCTCTTATATTATTTGATTAATTATTATCAATTATTTGATGATTAATACACATTAATTGAGCATTGATAATATATTTTTTTACCTTAAAAGTAGTCGCGGTCTTTTGATAAATTACTTAAATAATTAAAAAAAGTCCTTCATTAAAAGTTGATATAACCTTTTTTTAATGGATTGATCAAGATTAAATAGTCAGTGTATATTTCATGTATACTCGATATATACTTTAGATATAATTAAGCTATATTCAATAATATGAGTATATCATAATGTATAATCAATGTACATTTTTTTTTATGGATTTTAGTTAACTATGTTGTATAATATAATTAATCTATATTCTATAACTTTTATCTATTTCTTTTATGCAAGTAAAATATAGCTATATTTGTTGTACACTAATTATTTTATTGTATATATTTGAAATTATCTAATAATTATCTAAGAAAGGTGGAGTATTGTTTTAATAGCAATTTTTCATACCCAATACCCTATTTATCCATAGTTCTATCCCACACTGTGATTCCACAAATTTAAAACGATTTACTTTTAATTTTTTTTCAAGTTCAAATAAAAGATTTTCCTAAATTCACACTTTTGTGGTTATCTATATCAAGTAAAAATTTTAATTAACGGTAAGTGTATCATAACTATTGTTGGATGAAAGTCGTCCATAAAATATAAAAGAGGTATGTGAATTATTTAACGTAACCATTTTTGGCACATATTTTAGTTATTTAGGATCATTTTACAGGATTTAGACAATTTTCTCCGATTTTCATGTGTGTGGTGATATGAATTTCACACAATATTTTGAAAACCTTTATTGAATCTCCACGTAGGGAATTGGGGGGAGCAATTTGTGAAGCCTCACCATTTTTTGTACATATTTTGGGCATTTATGAGCCATTTTACGAAAATTAGGTACTTTTTTTATTTATTATGCGTGTTAGTCTATAAATATTTTAATTATATGACTTTCAGACAATTTTTACGGAACCTTTATGAAACTCTTTAATAGGGACTAGAAGGAGAAATACATGAAGTCTCACAAACCTTTGCACAGATTTTGGACACTTGGGTTCCATTTTATGAGAATTAGGAAATTCTTTTTTTAGTTTTTGTGTGTTAGCCCATGAATATTTTTGTGATATGACTTTCAAATAATTTTTTTGCATAACATTTTTCAAAACGTTTGTATGGTGTTAGGGGAGCAATATATGAAGCCTAACCTTTTATGATATATTTTGGACATTTAAGAGCCATTTTGCACAATATTTCACGTATTGCTCGTTGAACCCGTATGAGAGTTTTGTAAAAGTTTTGCATTAAAAAATCATCTGAAAATAATATCACCAGAATATTTATGGGCTATAACACTTTAAGACTAAGAAATTATGTTATTTTGTAAAAATGAATCTTAAATATCTGAAATATGTGAAAAAATGGTGAAGCTTCATGTTTGCTCCTCGTACTCCCTATTGAGAGTTTTGTAAAGGTTTTACAAAAAAATTGTTAAAAAATCATATCACCAAAATTTATGGACTAACATTTAGGAAAAACTAAGTAAATTGTCTAATTCATGTAAAATGGATCCTAAATGCCCAAAATATGTGCAACAATGGTGAGACTTCTCGTACGGGTCCTTCGACTCCCTACGGAGGTTCCATAAAGCTTTTGCAAAAAAAAAAAGTCATATAAAAGTCGTATCACCAAAATATATATTGATTAAAACGCACACACAAATTGAAAAAATCGCTTAATTCCTTTAAAATGACTCATAAATGTTCGAATATGAAAAAATGGCGAGACTTCAAGTACTGCTCTCCAAACTCCATATGAAGGATTTCATAAAGACTTTGCAAGAAAATCGTTCGGAAGCTATTTCATCAAAATTTTCATGGGCTACACATACGAAAAACTGAGAAAATCACCTAATTCTTGTACAACGGATCCTGAATGCCTAAAATATGTGCAAAAAATGGTGAGACTTCATATATTGTTTTCTCAACTCCCTACAGAGATTTCTGTAAAGGTTTTGCAAAATAATAAATAACATGCATGCAAATTCTAGAAAATTGCCTATTTTTTTGTAAATGATCCCTAAATACCCAAAGTACGTGTAAAAAATAGTGAGACTTTACGAACTTCTTTCCCAACTCCCTATGAAGGTCTCCGTAAAAGTTTGTAAAAAATTGTTTTAAGCCATATCATCAAAATATTTATGACCTAAAACACATGAAAACTGAGAAAATCGCATAATTCCTATAAAATGAATCTTAAATGCCCATATAAATGCAAAAATGGTAAGATTTCACGTACAAATCCCTCGAATCCCAAAATGATTTCATGCATGATGCATCTTGTATCGAAAATGTATCATGATGTAATGTATCCAAAAGTTATCATAGTACTATCAGTTATCTATGTAATTGTTATTTGCGTTCTAAATCCTGTAATGTCGTATCAAAAATCAAAAATTAATCAATAGTGTAAATTTCACTAATTAATCACATTATTGCATTGATTGCTTGTATTAATTAAGGCCATGTGTATTTAATAGTAACAGTCTAAATTGTATCTTTGATATAAAATTGTGTCAAAACTTTGATATAAATAAGAAAAAAAGTAATATTATGCAATCACATATACTTGATTTCGAAATCACTATTTGAATCATATTAGGAACGAGTAAAAGTTGTCAAGTCTACTCAATTCGAAAAACTTTAAGCCAAATGATATTTGAAGTTAAGTTGAATTTCAAACATTATATTTGAAATTATATTTTCTTAAAACGTTCAAATATGTTTATCTAAAATTAGACTTTATTAAAATTAACTTTGGAAGTGACACCTCTAAAGTCATTACAAAGTAAGTAAATGTGAGTTTTCTTCTTTGTTAATTTAAAGTTCAAGTTCAATATTCAAATGATTCTTTCTTTTTGTTTTGATTTATAAGTATATATGGTCCAAAGCTATTTCATAATTCAATATTATATTTTGTGGCGGTAAATGAATAGCTTGAGTTGAGTATGGACGAGTTAAAATAATTTGAACAAAAACGAATTGAATTTTCAACCCCCATATATACACACTTTTCCAACACTAATCCTATTGTACATAACTTTTGTAGCATTTCATTTAGGAAAAGTTTTGCAAATAGCAGTAAAAACAACTTCATTAGGCTTTATAGCTATCGTTTGCTAATTACGATTCTTAGCTACATGTTAGAGGCGGAGAAACGAGCGAAGAGAGGGATGAGAGAGGTGAGCCGAAGAGGGCAGAGATTAGAGAGAGGTGGATTATAATTATATATTTGCTGACTTATACATGTATATTGATTATATAATTATATATGTAACTGATATACATATGTATTTGTATATCTTTACAAGTTAGACTGGAAGAGAGAGGAGAGACTAGAAACAGAGGACAAAGAATGAAAGAAAACAAATTGTATTTGTATATCTATCATATTATTGTATATGTATATGTATAATTTGTATATATATAAGAGAGAAGAGAGAAGAGGGAGGAAGATAGGAGAGAGGCACACATAATTATAGCTAAAACAGAGTCTGCGAGTTATAATTAATTTAAATTATAACTATAATAGCTAATTAACTAGTATATATATATATATATATTTATCCGCGTAATTTTCTCATTTCCTTTATTTACTTAATTTGTCATGCTCTTAATTAGGATATTTTATAACTTGGCCCATTTGCTCTTTTTGCTTAAGCCCAATTGTTTAATCTTTATGTTCCTATTTTTCTTTTTTTGGCAAAAGTTTTATTTCTTTAGAGAATTATGTTTTTTCCTAAAATACAATTTTTGTGATTTTGTAATTTTGATTCTTTTGATTCCAAGGCGGAATCTTCTAGGTGAGATACTCTATATAACCTGTAAAGAGTGTGGTTTTTTTTTTAGCTTTTGAGTTTCAGAACCCCTTTTGTTTTTCTGGCATTTTCAGGTGAAATTCATTGGTTTTAGTTCTTGGGATTACTTTTTTTTGCTTTGTGTAAACTTAAAGTTTTGATTTTTATGTGCTTCTTTGCCTGTTTCTGTAGAGTTTGTGTATAAAAAAGATCATTTTTACTAAATTCTTTATCTTTTTTTTTCTGCTCTGTGTCTTGTGGATCAATTTGGGTGTTTTTGTTTAGTAGTTCTTGTTGGGTTTATCTGATTTTTGTTTATAAAGTTTTGATTTTTCTGGTATTTTCAGGTGAAATTCTTTGTTTTTGCTGTTGGGGTTATTTTTTTTTGGTCTATGTAGAGTTAAAGTTTTGATTTTTATGTGCTGCTTTGCCGTTTCTGTAGAGTTTGTGTTGAAAGAAATCATCTTTACTGAATTCTTGATCTTTTTTCTGCTTTGTGTCTTGTGGATCAATTTGGGGATTTAGGTTTAGTGGTTCTGGTTGGATTTTTTTGTTTGATGGATTAAAGTTTTGATACTTCTTGTGTTTCCATTGTTTTTTGTGCAGATGGGTTGTTGATTCTGGTGAATTCTTTGTGTGTGATTGAAGAACCAAAGAAAAGTTGAATCAGGTTAGTGTAGCTTGTGGACGTTAGATTAGTTTATGAATGTTTGTCTTTGTAGTTACTTGTTGTGTTTGCGAATTTATGATTGTAGAATCAAAATCACACATGCGATCAATGTGTACAGATTGTGTAGATTCCCCATGTGAATGATTTTGGATCAATTTAGGGTTTCCTTTTTTGGGTGAGGGGAGGTAGATCGTGGTACTAGGATACACACTACCCTCCCTAAACCCCACTTGTGGGATTATGCTGGGTATGTTGTTGTTGGTGCGGCTTCTGGATAGATTATTGATACATGTTAAATAAATTTTTTAGAGGTTGGCAAAGTAGTTGATTCTTATTTTAGAAAGAAAATCCTCGGTCAAGAAAGATCTGTAATTTCAAATTGACAATCTGTAGTATCCGATAAGCAGCTTTTATCCACTTTTGGTGGGTTTTGTGTTACTGGAGTTATCCTGCACTTGGAAGAAGTAGGAATTATTGGTTCTTCGTCAATCACCTGTTTGAAGAACTTTTAGGAGCGATAAATGTGTCTCAATTAGCTAGTGGGATAAACAGAAATGTAATTGAATCATGCAGCCACGTGGTGTTTTGCATCGTAGATTAATTATTAGCACTTAATCATGGAGAAGGAAAGAGTTACGTATCATCTGCCCTTGAGCATGGAAAACTCCTGGTGATTTACATGGTAGATAAGTTTTTTGCACTTAATCACAGGGAAGGAAAGAGTTCACGTAGCATCTGCACTTGAGCATGGAAAGCACATGGTGTTTAGGATGGTAGATAAGTTATTATTAGCACTTAATGGAGAAGGAAACAGTTTACGTAGCATCTGCATTTGAGCAGCGTTTCCATGTTTGTGCTCTCCCCTTAAATTACATGTAAAATTAGCTATACACGTCTAATGAGCTGTGAGTGTACAGTGTACACTTGCTTTGTATGATAGTGAAAAATGCACTACTTATCAGGAAAGATAAAAAGAGTATTTACAAGAGTGCAATACTGGATGTTTGCTTAAAAGTGTGGATACTTAAAGATGAAGCCCAATAGAAATAGGTTGAAAGGAGTTAAAAATTTGCATAGTAGATTACAAATATTAGTTAAGAGAGGGATTTGGTGGTGATTATCATAAGCACCGCTGTCATCAATGTTTAAAAGAATTTAAGATAAACATAGTTGGTCCTCGAGGAAGCTTTTGAAGTTAGATTAATCATTTTAGTTAAATTTAATTATATATGTGTGTGTTGGTGCCGATGCATACAACCTCCTACTGATGAGAACCATTATCTATCAACTTTCAGTTAGTCTTCTGTGCAACCTTTCTCTTGGAACGACATTAACAAAACGAAGAATTTGTGGAATAGTTCAGTGTTTTGTTTCATTGTAAATTAACTAGTTTTGAAACGGTGGTCTACCTACCACAAACTCCTCCTTTATCTGGATTTGTGACTAGCAATTTGAGTAAGCTGACATAATTTGTTTGGGATTGAAGCGTAGTTGTAATTGCTTTTGGCTGATGGAAATGAGTTAGAAGAGAGGATTGGTGGAGTGGAAAGGCTAAACCAATAGCTAAGGCTTTTGAATTTGCTAGGACAAACTCGCGGATGGATAATTCTAACTATTTGACATCAGTTATTAAAAACTGTTAGTTGAGTTGTCACATTCGAAGACCGGCTCTTATCTTTGGCTGTATTCTTGGGGCAGTTTAAACAATATGACAACTACTACTCAATCCCAAGCTAGATTCTTTCACTTGTATTTTAATAATCTGAGAATATATGCGATATTGACGAAGTTTGAATTGCTGCATGTTTTGGATTTTTTTATTAAGGTAACCAGTTGGAATGTGGTGTGGAGTGCAAGCATTTATGGAAGTAGGGGTAAGAGTATGGAATTGTGTACGTGTTCCATCTATATATAGGCCTTGTTATTTTTAAATTTACCCTTTTTAGCGTCTCATTTTTTGTGTATGGTATATGCCATAATGGGGTCATCGGCTGATCATTAAGTCAAGATGGATCAGTTAATGTTTTCAACTTTGTTTTCATACATTACTAGTATAGAGTCATTCTTCTATATTTGAGAATATTAGAGGCCAGATAGAGTCAAATAAGTTAGGTACTTGTGGTCATTTCGTAATTGAAACTTTTGGTAGACAGTTTACACCCTCCATCCGTTTTTACTTGTTCAGTATTGACTTGACACACCCTATAAGGTGCAATACATAGAATGACAATTTACTATATCACCTTTTGAATATAATAAATTTATATTTTGGAAAATGACTAGTCAATAATAAGCGTAAATTAGGAACTAAGTGATAAATTATATCTTGGTTTTCTGAACTGGACAAGTAAAAGCAGACAGCTATTCTTAGTACATGGAATTGAGGCCCTTTGTGGTTTTATAACCACACTTGGATTAATCGCTAATCAAATCATAGGTTTCATCAGAACTCAACTATGAGAAATCTATGGTGTAAAAACTATCATAGAAAAGTTAAGAGTCATCATGTTCGTAGCACAAGATTAAGGGAAGAAGGTTTAGAAGAAACTCAATCTTTTGAATCCTCCTTGAAAAATCTCGAGTTCAATCTTCTTTTCTCTCTATATTTTCCTGAAAAACTGTCTGGCTGTGCGGCCTCCCGTCTGTAACAACATCCAAAAATTTTCTTCTTTTTCACCCCTTGGAGAACTGTTGCTGCTAGTATTTTTGGAGCTGGAGGAGGATTTCTTATGTGAATTATAGCTTGAAAGCGGGGCTTACCTTTTACACAAGGATTTCTCTTCCTTTTTCTACTTCTAGAATTGAGAGTGCTATTAAAGCTCATGTGTTTCCATCTTCAGAATAAAGTTAAAGTTACAATATCTAAGTTTAGAATGTGGGGGGACGTGTTAAGTTTGTTGACCATGTTTGAAAGCCTTCTTTTTGAAGGCAGAGTTGGAAGTTCTTCGATCGATGATACTTTGATTTTGGATAGGTTGAGGTATCTAGTTGGGAAGAATGAGTTTGATTATGTTTGAGGGGAATTTCCTACATTGAATTTTAAGGGAGGAGAGTGCGAGTCCGGTGCAGCATAGTTGGTGGATAAGTGCGTGTCAGCTTGAAGGAACTTGTTCTAGTATTTTAAGGACAAAGGGTATAGTGTGCACCGTTATTCTTATTTTAGTAACAAGTGTTGATCTTGTATGGTGTCCTGTGAAACTCTTTTTTATCTCTCTCTTGAATATACATTGAAGAAGCTTCTGTACAAGTTCCTAGCTGCAACAATTTGTTGCTCATTTCGGTTTGACATGTTCCGGAGAATAGCTCTGTAGATCTTGCATGAATGTTTCACCCTAGGTAAATGTCTTCTTCAGATTCTACGTATAGGATAGCAGTGCTATCAAAAGCAAAAAACGCAAATAAAACGTGAGCTTTAATGCAAAAAGGTGCCAAAGGAGAAAAAACAAACAAATATTATATGTTTAGTCCAAGACTAATAATTTATAAGCATGAATGACAAATATATACACAAAGAAATTGAAAAATAATTACAATATCAACTGTTTATGTCGTCTCTTCAGAAGAGGTTCATTAGCGAGGAAAATTATGCCATAGAACCTTGATGACAACACTGTAGTGCACATTAAGCGACGCGAAGTGCTCGACATGATTTGTGCCTCATTTCAGGGTTTAAGCGTGCCTTGGATAACACTGAGGATTAGGATCTTGTTGTAGATATTTATGACAAACTTCTACAGTAGAAAAGAAATGCTTGAAATTGTCAAAGGCGCGCTTATGCATTGAAGGCGAGACTCAGAATTGTGTTGAGCACTTCTCCTCGCTTAATGTGTGCTTTATCATCATCATCAAGGCTCTAAGACATAATTTTCCTTGCCAATAAGCCTCTTCCGAAGAAGCAACACCAAACAATTTATTTGTTCTATTTTTTCAATTTCTTTGTCCGTATGTTTGTCATTCATATTTATGATTGTTAGTCTTGGACTACACCTATATATATGTATGTATATATATATATATATATATATATATTTGTTATTTTTCTCCCTTTGCACCTTTTGCATTAAA